AAAATGGGGTTAGAATGGGAAAAAATGGGAAAAAGTGTGGATAAAAGGTGGATAAAAGGGGTTATGATGGGAGCAGAAAGGGTTAAAAAGGGGTTAAAATGGGTCTGGGGGCTTCGGGGGGAATTTGGGGAGGGGTCTGGGGGGGATTTTGGGGATCCCGAAGAATTTGGGGAGGGGTCTCCATGGGTTTCTTCCCCCAAATTGGGCATTTTTGGCCTCATTTTTTGGGAATTTGGGGAGGGGTCTCCGGGAATTTGGGGAGGGGTCTCCGGGAATTTGGGGAGGGGTCTCTGGGAATTTGGGGAGGGGTCTCAACCTTTTCTTTTCCTCAGTGCGAAGTCTCCACCCTGGAGGGGATCAAGTCCTGCCTCTCCTTCTACCCCGGCGCCTGTGGCTCCATGAGGGTGAGACCCCTCCCCAAATTATTTTGGGGGGTCCCCAGAGACCCCTCCCCAAATTCTGAGCTTCCCCCGAGACCCCTCCCCAAATTCTAGGGGTTTCCTTGAGCCCCCTCCCCAAATTTGGAGGTTCCTTTGAGCCCCCTCCCCAAATTTTAGGGTTTTTTCGAGCCCCCTCCCCAAATTTCTGGGGCTCCCCTTTGAGCCCCCTCCCCAAATTCCAGAGGTTCCCCGAGCCAAGTTCTCAATTTCGGGCTTTCCCCGAGCCCCCTACCCAAATTTGGAGGTTCCCCTGACCCCCCTCCCCAATTCTGGAGTTTCCCCAGATCCCCCTGCCCAAATTTCTGGGCTCTCCCTGAGCCCCCTCCCCAAATTTTAGGGGTTCCTTTGAGCCCCCTCCCCAAATTCCAGAGGTTCCCCGAGCCAAATTCTCAATTTTGGTCTTTCCCCGAGCCCCCTCCCCAAATCTGGAGGTTCCCCTGACCCCCCTCCCCAATTCTGGAGTTTCCCCAGATCCCCCTGCCCAAATTTCTGGGCTTTCCCCGAGCCCCCTCCCCAAATTTTAGGGGTTCCTTTGAGCCCCCTCCCCAAATTCCAGAGGTTCCCCGAGCCAAGTTCTCAATTTTGGGCATTCCCCGAGCCCCCTCCCCAAATCTGGAGGTTCCCCTGACCCCCCTCCCCAATTCTAGGGGTTCTCCTGAGCCCCCTCCCCAAATTTGGGTGCAATTTGGGGAGGGGTCTCGAGCCTGGGACCCCCCAAACCCTCCCCAATTCCGCAGGGGAAGCTGGCGGCGCATTTCCTGGCGCGCATCGACAGCGAGAGCCCGCGGCTGCAGCAGGTGCCGATTTTTGGGGGAATTTCGGGCGGATTTGGGGTTTTTTGGGGGGAATTCGAGATTTTGGGGCTTTCCTGGAACTTTTTTTGGGGAAGATTCGGGTTTTTTTGGGGAAGATTTGGGTTTTTTTGGGGAAGATTTGGGTTTTTTAGGGGAGAATTTGGGATTTTTAGGCGTCGTTCCGCGAGGGATTTGAGGTTTTTGGGGGTTTTTTAGGGGGTTCTTTGGGATTTTTGGGGCGATTTCTTGGGATTTTGGGGAATCCTGGATCCATTTTTGAGATCTTTGATCCCATTTTTCCTCATTTTCCCCCATTTTTTCCCATTTTTACCTGTTTTTAATTGATTTCGAAGCACCATGTGCTGCTGCTGGTGCCGTTTTGGGGCACTTTGGTGGATTTTGGGTCAATTCTGGTGGATTTTGGGTCAATTCTGATGGATTTTGGGGCCATTTTAGTGGATTTTGGGTCAATTCTGATGGATTTTGGGGCCATTTTAGTGGATTTTGGGTCAATTTTGGGTCAATTCTGATGGATTTTGGGTCAATTCTGGTAGATTTTGGGTCAATTCTGATGGATTTTGGGTCAATTCTGATGGATTTTGGGGCCATTTTAGTGGATTTTGGGTCAATTTTGGTGGATTTTGGATCAATTTGATGGATTTTGGGTCAATTTTGGTGGATTTTGGGTCAATTTTGGTGTTTTTTGGGTCAATTCTGATGGATTTTGGGTCAATTCTGATGGTTTTTGGGTCAATTTGGTGGATTTTGGGTCAATTTTGGTGGATTTTGGATCAATTTGATGGATTTTGGGTCAATTTTGGTGGATTTTGGGTCAATTTTGGTGGTTTTTGGGTCAATTCTGGTAGATTTTGGGTCAATTCTGATGGTTTTTGGGTCAATTTGGTGGATTTTGGGGCCATTTTGGTGGATTTTGGGTCAATTCTGGTGGATTTTGGGTCAATTTGATGGATTTTGGGTCCATTTTAGTGGATTTTGGGCCAATATAATGGATTTTGGGTCAATTTAATGGATTTTGGGTCAATTTTGATGCTTTTTGTGTCAATTCTGTTAGATTTTGGGGCAGTTCTGGGGGTTTTCGGGGGTCCTGAACCCATTTTCGGGGTCCCTGATCCCGTTTTTCACCGTTTTTTCCCGTTTTTTCCCCGTTTTCAGCTGGCCTGCGAGTGCTACGCGCTGCTGCCGGGGCTGGGCCGCGGTTTCTCGCAGGGGCTGCGGCACACGGAGTGCTGGCACCAGCAGCTGCAGGGGGTGCTGGCCACGCTCCACGGGATCCTGGGGAGCCTCTTCGAGGGCTGTGAGACAGGTGAGGGATCTTCCCCAAATTTGGGATGGATTTGGGATCGTTTGGGATCATTTGGGATCATTTTGGGATCATTTTGGGTGGATTTGGGGCTGTTAAAGGGATTTTTTTGGGATTTTTGGGGGATTTTTTGGGATTTTGGGGTTTCTCAGGAGCCTCTTCGAGAGCTGTGAGACAGGTGAGGGATCTTCCCCAAATTTGGGATCGTTTTGGGATCGTTTGGGATCATTTGGGATCATTTGGGGTCATTTTGGGTGGATTTGGGGCTGTTAAAGGGGATTTTTTGGGGATATTTTGGGGATTTTGGGGATCCTGGGGAGCCTCTTCGAGGGCTGTGAGACAGGTGAGGGATCTTCCCCAAATTTGGGATCATTTTGGGATGGTTTGGGGTCATTCTGGGATGGTTTGGGATCATTTTGGGTCATTTTGGGTGGATTTGGGGCTGTTAAAGGGGATTTTGGGGGATTTTGGGGGGATTTTTTTGGATTTTGGGGCTTCTCAGGAGCCTCTTTGAAGGATTTGAGACAGATCTGGGATCTTCCCAAAATTTGGGATCATTTTGGGATGGTTTGGGGTAATTTTGGGATGGTTTGGGGTCATTTTGGGTGGATTTTGGGTTGTTAAAGGGAAATTGGGATGATTTGGGGGATTTTGGGATGATTTGGGAGGATTTAGGATGATTTTGGGGGATTTTGGGATGATTTAAGATGATTTAGGATGGTTTAGGGCGGGATTTGCGATGATTTTGGAGGATTTTGGGAGGATTTGGGGGGATTTGGGCTGGTTTAGGGTTGTTCAAAGGGATTTTGGGGTTATTTTGCCGGGATTTGGGGCTGTTCAAGGCGATTTTGGGATAATTTGGGGGATTTTGAGGTGATTTGGGCTGGGTTAGGATGGGATTTGGGCTATTTTGGGGTTGCTAAAAGGGATTTTGGGATGATTTTGGAGGATTTTGGGATGATTTGGGCTGGTTTGGGGTCGTTAAAGGGAATTTTGGGATAATTTGGGACGATTTGGGCTATTTTGGGGTTGCTAAAAGGGATTTTGGGATGATTTTGGAGGATTTTGGGATGATTTGGGCTGGTTTGGGGTCGTTAAAGGGAATTTTGGGATAATTTGGGACGATTTGGGCTATTTTGGGGTTGCTAAAAGGGATTTTGGGATGATTTTGGAGGATTTTGGGATGATTCAGGATGGTTTTGGGTGGGATTTGTGATGATTTTGGGATGATTTGGGCTGATTTTGGCTGATTTAGGGTTGAATTTGTGCTGGTTTGGGGCTGTTAAAGAGAATTTTGGATGATTTTGGGGAGATTTTGGGATGATTTGGGGGAGATTTAGGATGATTTTGGGATGATTTGGGGAGATTTAGGATGATTTTGGGATGATTTTGGGATGATTTGGGGAGATTTAGGATGATTTTGGGATGATTTGGGGGGATTTAGGATGATTTAGGGATGATTTTGGGATGATTTGGGGAGATTTAGGATGATTTTGGGATGATTTGGGGAGATTTAGGATGATTTTGGGAGATTTTGGGATGATTTGGGGGAATTTAGGATGATTTAGGGATGATTTTGGGATGATTTGGGGAGATTTTGGGATGATTTGGGGAGATTTAGGGATGATTTTGGGATGATTTGGGGAGATTTAGGATGATTTTGGGATGATTTGGGGAGATTTAGGATGATTTTGGGATGATTTGGGGAGATTTAGGATGATTTTGGGAGATTTTGGGATGATTTGGGGAGATTTAGGATGATTTTGGGAGATTTTGGGATGATTTGGGGGGATTTAGGGAGATTTTGGGATGATTTGGGGAGATTTGGGATGATTTTGGGATGATTTTGGGATGATTTGGGGGGATTTAGGATGATTTAGGATGATTTTGGGATGATTTGGGGTGATTTGGGATGATTTTGGGGAGATTTTGGGATGATTTCTGCTGATTTTGGCTGATTCAGGATGGTTTTGGGTGAGATTTGTGCTGATTTGAGCCGATTTTGGCTGATTTCGGGCAGCTTTGGAGCTGATTTCGGGTGGGATTTGTTTCATTTCGGAGCCTTTTTGCTGCTGTTGTAAAGAATTGAAGTTTTTGGGGTGAATTTTGGTGTTTTTGGGTCTCAGACCCCCTCCCCTACGAGGGTCCTGGGGTGGAGCTGCTGCTGCCCCCGGCCCAGGACGGCGACGCCGGGGGAGTCCTGACCCTGCACTCGCGATTTTCGGGGCTCTGCCGCGTCCTCAGGCTCCTCCTCAGGTACCAAAAACCCCCAAATTCACCCCAAAACCCACCCCAAAATCATCAAATATCCAAAATCCCCAAAATCCCTCGAATTCACCCCAAAATCCCC